ATGAACTATTGAGCAACCAACCGAGCCTTGTAATGATCAATACTACCATCCGGCTTGGCTATGATAGTAAACACCCATCGACTACCGATAATAGGAACAACTGAAGGGGGAGGAGGCACAACGGTCCACATATCATTCGCATTTTAAGCACCCAATTATATCTGCATGGCTACCTCCCACTGCGGAATTCCTTGCATCTACCGATAACTAGGGGAACAAATACAAAATCCACTCTATAGAAAATACTGTCACATAGTCGAGCAGGAAGCTGACCAAGGATGCTAGAGATAGATAGATGAGGAGTTGGAGGAACCAGTGGTGGTGACGGAGGAGGAGAGTCATTTCTGGATGATGAATTTAGTTCATGCGGAGGTAAGTTGGGGGATGATGGGGAGTAGCAACACATTATCAAGCTCATCATTCTTAGAAAAGGATGTAAGTGCTGCAAACAAAAAACAAGGAAAGAGACGAATGACTACACAACGAGTAAAACATAACATGTTCAAAGAATATGACATCACATGAGATACGAAGACGTTGGCAGAGGCGATCAAAACAATGGTACCTCTTGTGGACATCATTGTACCCTAGAAGGACACAATGGGAAATCTTGGGCGAGAACTTGTGATGATCCTTTCGAGGATGAAGCACAAAAATAGGCAACCAAAAATACCGAGGCAAGAATAGGTAGGATATTTCTGATAAAGAGAAAAGTAAAGTCTCATGTGACTAAGGACAAAAGTAATTTTATAATTGTCAAACCCACTGTTGTAGCAACTGTTTCAGGCCAAAAACAAAACAAAACATTAAGGGGGATAACAATAACGCTTGGGTGAGTTGTAAGACCTGTATGTTTTTACGGTCCACCACGTTATTCAGCTACAAGAAACCTGAGCAAGCTTTATGGGGAAAGATACCTAAAGATCGGAAGTGAGATTTAAGATGGTTGGAACTAAGTTCCCCTCCTCATCCAACCTAATGATCTAAACAGAATGGCCAAATTACGTTCGCACCATTTTTAGGAAATCGGTGGCGACAGAAATTAAGTAAGATTTGAGCTTCAAAAAGTACACTCAAGTAACGTGTAGCATGATCAATAATAGAGAAAAATATCGATAACCATGGCGTGAGGTAATATGACTCGGGCCTCGGAGATCAATATGTATGAGCCGAGAAGGTTCACTAATAATCGTAGTACTAAACGTGAAGGTGATACGAGTTTTTTGTCCTATACCCAACTAGTACATAAAAAATGAGATAAACCATTTAGCGAAACATCACCAATAAATTATGTTTACCGTCGTAGTAAGTCGACTAAATTGAGGGTGACCTAAACGTGAATGCCAAAATTCAAATTTTAACCATTAATACTCGAAAAAATCTACTGAGAATGAAAAGCAGACAAGATCTAGACACAGACGAAGGACTCGAATGATCTGATAACAGAGCTGATAATTCTTCCAAGTAAAAAATATTTCCTTGTTTACTGCTCTGCTGATCTGCCTCCATGTCTTAATACGACAACCAATTAAGCAAACTAATGTTGAATAGTTTGGTTAATTGGTTAACCAGGCTAACCAGTATAACATAAAATTATTTAGTAAAATATGATGTTAATGTCAATATTATGAGATTAATGAATTGAGTGTGTCTGTGTGAATTGTCTTAGTCTCTTAGAAATAATTAGAGGCTAAAAAAATCCTTCTCTTTGAGGTGTTCATTCAACATGATATAGAGTTTTATTTAAATTAGTTGTCCTTTTGTTGGTGTCTACACTCTATAAGAAAATATAGATATGAACAGTGAGCTTTCGTTAGTCCAGAAATGAGGTATGCTTGACTCTTGAGTGTTTATGAGCATTTAGTACGGGTATATAATGTGTTAGATATATAACTAATTGCTTAATTTGTGAATTGGTTTGATTGGTTAGGAGTGTATAAAATCAAACTAAAAATTATAATTTAACCAAACCAATTATCCAAATTAACCAAACTAAGTTATCCAAGTATGACACTTAAGATGGTAACTAATCCATTTGAAGATCCCAACTCACAGGGCATTTATCCGTTGTAGAATAGAGCCAAATTTACTTGGCTCTAAGGCCAAGAATGTATTTCCCCAGGGTCTCTCGCAGAAATTTTAATTAAGAAGCAATGTACGATTCTAATGAAGAAGAGATCGAGTTTAGTAGGTTGAGGTGCCTCCAATTTTGCATAAATGAAGAGTTTGAAAAGTAAAGCGATGTATGAAAGTAAATCTATGGTTACTGGATGAGTGAGAGATCAGAGAACTTACCCTGCCATGGGGAGGGGTTCCTTTGTTTTCATTGATTGAAACAAAGACACTAGAAACCGGTGTAGGGGCGTTGTTTTGGTGGATTTTCTCCCTTGTAGGTTGGTCTCGTTCTAATTCAGAAGGGTCGCTCTGTCGGCAGAGTAACAACCCTTCATTGATCTCTTGTCTCCTCTCCCTTATTGCCTATCTCTATGGACATATTTTTAGGCCTTTGATTAGGCTTTCTAAGGAGGCAAACTTGCAGTTTTAACATCATTCAGCCAATCAGAATACTCCAAATATGTGGCCAGCAAATCAGAAGGCTTCAAGATGACTTCCTGACAAAGTGGTTTGCATTTGTAAAATGGTGCCATTTCTGCCGTTCGTCTCCATCAAAATGGTGCTTCGGGTACCATTTCTACCAAGTGTCATGTCTTTAAATCCCAGCTCCAGCAAATTGATCTCGATGTCCCCTATGACTTCCAAGTGGTCCAGTTGTATGCTTCGACATGAAAATGCACAAAATGTTACAAAAACTGTATCAATCGTATAAAAGCAATCCTAGGTTAGCTAGAACACACTTGAAGCAATCATAGCATAAATTCAAGGTATGCACTTACGTGTCATCGGGCACCATCCAGTTTGTATGTAAGATGAGATGGTCGTATATTGTTCTAGATATATACCAAATGGATCCATTGCGAGAGCGTGGGTGAGGTTTGGGCCATCCCATGTTTTGAAAATCTTCCATCAACATAATAGAGGGTATGGGTTGTTAGAGTTTCCGTTAGGAATGGACAAGATAATCGGGTAGTAGTAAGCGAGGCTAAATTTACTTGGCCCTAAAGTCAGGATCGTATTTCACTAGGGTCTTTCATAACCATTAAACCAAATGGTGATGGGATGAGTTCTATTATTTTAAAACGAATGTCCAGTTTAAGGTGTCTCAGAGGTTGAAGTGCCCCTTGGTTTAGAGAAAACTAAACGAAAATTAATGCAAAAAGGAAAACTACGCTACTGACTGGTGAAGAAAGTAGGAGGGGCGTGGCGTTGCATATGCAAACTCACCCTAGAGTTTCTTGAGTCGTATCTCGATCTTGGAAGTGTATATGTTGCTTGATCTTTATGTAATCTGATCCTACATTGCAATGAGGCTTCATGCCTCGATCTGATAGGCTACAAGGACCCTACGGATGTCTCCCTTGAGGCCTCCCGCTAGTTGATTGAACGATGATCGATCATATAGAATTGAAGTTCCCGGTGTTGTTCTATGCTAATAAGATTTTGATAATAGCACCACAAAAGGATGCAATATTGACTTAGGAATTTATTCATTTCAACAAAAAAGTACAAAAAAAAATCAAATGCAAAAATGGGAAGAATAACATCAATCAAATTATGAAAAAATTGAGAATACATTGTCAAGAACCTCTAGGGGTTTCCTACCTACACAACTAGGGAACTAGCCATCCACGGGGATGAGTTTCTAGGAGAACATCAATAAAAAAACGAAATCCCTGGACAATCTAAAAAAGGGGTGCCATAATTGAGAAATCAACGATTAGGATGCTGATTATGGTGCCATATTTTTCTTTATGGTCGGTTAGCTCTAAGTTGGGTGAGTCACTCCGTGGGCAGAGTAACGACCCTCTAATGCCTCCAATCACTGGATACCAAACTCCCCTAGATGTCTATTTATTCCAAAAAAAAAAGTCCATTAGGATTTCTAGAGAGGGGAACTTGGCCTTCATGCGTCTTCTGAGCTTCCATGAAGCTTCCCAAACGTAGCCACCACGCCAATATGAATATGGATGCCTTTCTGATGATTTTTGTACGCCCTCAAAAATGGTGCCAAAGATGCTTTTTTTTTATATGGACTGCTATTTTCGGCAGCATTTGATTGCTTCGCTCCAATCTCGATTTAGGCTCATAGTAGTTGATGCTTGATTTCCCCCAACACGTCTAAAGCGGTCCGCTAGGTTTTTATGTCATGTGAGAGTGCAACAAATTGATAAAAGCAAACCTAGCGCTACTAGAACGCACTTTGAGTGATCGCATAGCAAATCCAAGATATTATGACGATAACTTAAATGAAAATCATGATGTTTTAGACATAATATGGGGGTCTAAAAAAAATACTTTTCATGTGTCATCACATGCTTGTTGAAATGCTTCAGTGCATTTTGCTTGAATTGCACAAGCCATGGAATGCTTCTTAGTCTTGGATATAATACTGACAACGATTGCAACAGCTTGATCATAAATATTGATATTTGTCATAGAGTAGAGTAGCACTAAAGATGCATACTTCCCGATGAATAGAGCTGTAAAGTTGAAGAAAAAAACTTGGGAATTAATAATTGAAGTAACACTGGTTTGATTTATGAGAGATGTCATTTGCTTCCAAACATTTATTGTGTGCTTTATGACATTGTGGTGTGGCTCAGTAGATTTGTGGTGTATTTTATGAGAAAGGTGGTATGTTTCTGGACATTTGTGGTCAGGTTTCTAGTATGAAATGTGGGATATTGTGGTTCACTTTTGATATATTTTAAAGTGCGTTTAGTATGCGCAAAATCAAAACTGCTCAAAGTAAGCAGTGACAATGAGAGGGCCTTTCTAGCCCCTACATGGGCTAACCTATTGTTCTGTTTGTCTGCAAAGTGCACTGTGAAACCCAACTTGTCCAGAAGCAGCCATTGTACTTCCTACAAAATAGCCTCGCCATGCACGTCGTTAAACACCCCTGCCCTGACTTTGTTTATGATCCCCTTCGCATCATCTTGCAATGCCACCAACTCCACCATAGTCGGCTCTTGCACACCTTGGAGTCATTCGCCTTTTGCTCCGATGACCGCACCAATCTCATCACAAAGCACCATTCCCATGGCCGACCGCTCGCCTACCCTTACCGCCCCATCAAAGTAGCATACAAGGCCCGGAGGCAACCATGCGACACCCTGAGTTCACAAGGACGGCTTGTCATCATCTCCTGGTAGGACAGGTCCATCTTGTAAATTTGCCAACCACTCTGTGACTTGAGCTTGAAACTGGGCCACCAACACAGAAATTAACACCTGCTTATACTCAAAGAAGACCCAATTTCATGCCTTCCAAATCCACCAAAGGAGGGCCACAATCCTTACAACTTTCTCCGGCGCCACATCTGCCTCCAAGAGTCTTCGGAGAAAGATGCCAATATGATGTGTCGGATAGAGTTCCAAAGACTGTCGCAAGCCTGCTACTTCCCACAAAGCTACTGCAACCGGACATAATAGCAGCAAGTGTTCTAATGTCTCCTCCTGCACCCAACAAACCAGACACGAGGCAAGACCTGAACCTTCTCCGAAATCACTTGCTCAGTGGTGGGCAAGATACGACGAAACAATTGCAGAGGAAAAACAGAAGCTTTGGCCGGATAGGTACACCAAAAATCTACATCCATAATTTCCGATCCATCCAACTAACCTCCGCCTTCCACCTATCCCTAGCCCGACTATAATGGATCTCCAAGTGATAACCTGACTTGACAGTGTACTTACCAGAGGCATCATCCTACCAGATAATTTTATCGGCAATGGGGATCGTAGGAAGTGGGATAGCAAGAATTGTTGCAACCTCCCGTACAGAAAAACAATTATGCAAGCAATCCATACACCACCCACCATCCGGTGATTCCATTAAATACGAAATAGACTCCGCTCTATTCAAATGGGTCGTAGGCATTACCTGCACTTGATCCCATCTCAACCCCAAAATCCAATTCACCCCCAGCATAGGAATAGCCTCGCCCGACCGAACTTGCCAACGCAACCCTTGGCACAACATGTCACACCCATACAGGATCCCTTTCCATCCCCATGACGATCTAGACCCCTTACGGGCTGAAAGCACAATCCATGCAGGAAATATTTCCCCCCATACACTTGCGCCAATAGTGAATCTGGGTCCTCCAAAATCCGCCACCGCCATCGTGCTTGCTGCGGCATAGATTTTTCCAAGAAAGCCAATGCATCCGAGTTTGCCCATCCTCAGCTCCCCACCAGAAGCGTGCCAAAGATTTATCCAACGTGTGACACAGAGACAATGAGAGCTTAAAATATGACATCACATGATTAGGCAGGGCCGCAACCACTAATTTTAAAAGAGTTTCCTTCGCCGCCAAACATAGATGTCTCTATTTCCACCTTTGCAGTTTTTGGAGCAGTTTTTCCTCCAAATATCATACTGTATCCGACTTAGATCGAGAAATTAGAGTTGGTATCCTGAGGTACTTATCTTGAACCACAACAACCCCAACCTTTAGACAGTGCGCCATCTCCGCACAATGTTGCTCATCAATGTTCCGGCTAACAAAAGGCAGACTTCGCCAATTTGACCTGCTGCCCACTTAGCGTCTCATACTCGATCGTGTAGTAATAATTTCAAGCATTCACACTCTGCCATAGACCTTCACAAGAAAAAATAGGAGTCATCAGCGAAGAACAAATGGTGAATTCGAGGGGCACGTGGGCTTACCCGTACTCCGGCCAGTTGACCATTCGTCACCGCTTTCCGCAAAAGTGCCGTGAATCCCTCTGTACAGAGGACAAACAAAAACCAAGACAGAGGATTACCTTTTTGTAACCCCTGTGTAGACCGGAAATAACCTGATAGTTTCCCATTCATCATTACTGAGAATATTGTCGAGGATAAGCACTCCCTAATCCAACTTATCCAAACATCATTAAACCCTAATCGAGTCCAAAACTGCTAGCAAGAAAGGCCATTCGAGCCTATCATAGGCCTTTTTCTATCAACCTTCACAACCACATAGCCCTTCTTGCCTTTCGCTTTGATCTTTAGGTAGTGCATCAATTCATGCCCAATAAATACATTATCAACAATTTTGCGCCCCCGAATAAACGCGTTCTTCCCCGGTGAAATGATGGGTGGAAGGTGAATTGCCAGTCTCTCAGTCAGGAATTTTGTAATTACCTAGGTATACGAACTAATAAAGGCTTATAGGACTCAACTCGCGAATATCCTCCACCACATCTACCTTGGGGGATCAACGTAAGTCACGTATGATTGAAACTTCGCAAAATGCGGCCATTCACAAAGAACGATCACACAACCTCAATCACCGTCACTCCGATAATATCCCAATAAACCCAGAAAAATTTCCCTGTGAAACCATCTCTGGGGCTGAGTCACACCTATAGAGAATACCACCTTCCTGATTTCCTCCGAGGAAACCTTGACTGTCAACTCATTATTCATCTGATCTGTGACCTGGAGATGTAAAAATCAATCGCTACATGCTCCTATTGATCCTCCCCAGTCACCCATTCCGCCTCCTCGTTATGCAACCAGTCGAAAAAATTTCTCTTTCGACGAGCATTAGTAACAGTATGAAAGTAGGATGAGTTATGATCAAACTTCATAAGCCATAAGACACGAGATTTTTGTTGCAAAAAGATCTCTTCCGCTGCCCACTGCCTATTTAATTCTGCCTCCAACTCACGGTTCTTATCCCAATTCGTGGGTTTTTCTGCCTGAACATATGCGACCCATTCACCTCCTGGTCTCAAACATATTTAACCATTAGTCGAACTTCCGGGTTATCTGCCCATCGAGCATTAAACCGAAAGAGCAGCCTACAATTCTATTGGAAAGACTTATCTGCAACCAACAGGGCCTAGTGATTCGAGCCTTGATCCATGCAATGCTTTACTAGCGTATAAAGGATTTTTTCGACCCACAGAGTAGAGCCAAGAGCTCTGTCCAGTCTTTCTTTCACGCACGCTGAACTCAACCTTCTGTTGGTCCACGTAAATGGATAACCGTCATACCCAAGGTCATGAAGACCTAAATCATGCACAAAATAACGAAGCTCCAAAGATTGAGCGGATACCCAAGGATTACCCCCCGATTTTTCACTGGAAGCGAGAATCGAGTTGAAATGTCATAGTACAATATACAGCACTGGAAGACCCGCACAGTACACATGAAGCTCCTCTAATTGAGCTTGACGAATTCGCGCAACACAACTTATATAAGCACACACCACAATATAATGAGAGCCGTCTTTATTCATTTCAACATAAATAAAAAACGAAGAGTTGCAAAATACAAAAACATCTAGACCCATGGTCCAACCCACAACTAGACCTCTCAACATATTCTCTGCATCCACAAAATAACAAGACTCTAACTCAAACCTTAACCCTTGAATTCGGCGAGCAACTACCTTCCAATTCAAACGATTTTCTGAGAATATGCAACTGCCTATATAATTCTGCCTCCAACTCACGGTTCTTATCCCAATTCGTGGGTTTTTCTGCCTGAACATATGCGACCCATTCACCTCCTGGTCTCAAACATATTTAACCATTAGTCGAACTTCCGGGTTATCTGCCCATCGAGCATTAAACCGAAAGAGCAGCCGACAATTCTATTGGAAAGACTTATCTGCAACCAACAGGGCCCAGTGATTCGAGCCTTGATCCATGCAATGCTATACTAGCGTATACAGGATTTTTTCGACCCACAGAGCAGAGCCAAGAGCTCTGTCCAGTATTTCTTTCACGCACGCTGAACTCAACCTTCTGTTGGTCCACGTAAATGGATAACCGTCATACCCTAGGTCATGAAGACCTAAATCATGCACAAAATAACGAAGCTCCAAAGATTGAGCGGATACCCAAGGATTACCCCCGATTTTTCGCTGGAAGCGAGAATCGAGTTGAAATGTCATAGTACAATATACAACACTGAAAGACCCGCACAGTACACATGAAGCTCCTCTAATTGAGCTTGACGAATTCGCGCAACACAACTTATATAAGCAGACACCACAATATAATGAGAGTCGTCTTTATTCATTTCAACATAAATAAAAAACGAAGAGTTGCAAAATACAAAAACATCTAGACCCATGGTCCAACCCACAACTATACCTCTCGACATATTCTCTGCATCCACAAAATAACAAGACTCTAACTCAAACCCTAACCCTTGAATTCGGCGAGCAGCTACCTTCCGATTCAAACGATTTTCTGAAAAACAAATCAAATATGGACTATTCGACCGAACAAGTCCCAATAGTGATTGGAACGTGAGGGAGGGCCCGATTCCTCTCACGTTCCAAGATAGAATCCTCATTTGGCCTCTGGTAGCCACTCTCGACTGGCTTCCTCCACTGATTCAGCTTGAATTTCATCCCCTGCCTCACCACACAATTTCTTCACCATAGTTGGATCATGAGCAAGCCCAACCACTTCCTCTACTTGCCTCTTTCTTTCCTCGCCATCCTCCAATGCCGATGCAGCCATAAGGAACACCTTGGTATGTTTAGTACCATACTCATCCAAGCGCAGCTTAGCTGTAGGCTTGTAGATAACTTGAGTGCACCCACTACTTCCAGCCTCTGCCCCTGTCTCCAACGACGCCTTGTCCCGCCCTTTTGCAGCAGCAGCCGACAAAACCTTGTCACCCAGCTTCACGTGGGATATAGGTGTCAAAACATAGCCCGACCCGATTAACCCGCCCGATCAACCCGACCCGCAACCCGACCGCAACCCGAATTGACTTAAAGTCAACAACCCGTAACCCGACCGACCCGCAACCCGATTGACCCGCAACCCAACTAACCCACAACCCGACTAACCCGCAACCCGATTAACCCGAACCCGATTGACCCGCAACCCGATTAACCCGAACCCGATCGACCCGAACCCGACTAACCCGTAACCCGACCGACTCAACCCGAATTTCATCTAATCCACTTGAATAATTATAAAAATATACAATACATAGTTTTTCAAAATAAAGTTTTTCATTCTAAACTTAAGTAAATTATTTTTTCATTTCTTATAAAAAATTTTAAAAATATGAAACTCACTTGATATTACGTATTTTAAGAAACTTACAAAAATTGAAACATGAAGGTCACTTGAGATCATGACAATATTAATATAATATATAAATTAAAATTTTGGTTCTTAACTATTCAATA